CTTGCGCCACCTGGCCGGCCCCGAGGGACACTTTCTATTTGGAGTTTATTCACGTTTCAAATGAAGTCTTGACATTAAGAAGTGCAGTACTGGCTCAATTTCATTTACTGTAGACACTGACCACCTACTGTGTGCCATGTGCTGGGTTAAGCACTGTGGATACATCAGTGAGCAGTGAAGAACACCCTTATTGTTTTTTTTTTAGATTTTATTTATTTATTTTTTCCCCCAGAGCCCCAGTAGATAGTCGTATGTCATAGCTGCACATCCTTCTAGTTGCTGTATGTGGGACTCAGCCTCAGGATGGACGGAGAAGTGGTGCCTCGGTGCGCACCCGGGATCCGAACCCGGGCCGCCAGCATCGGAGCGCGCACACTTAACCACCAAGCCACGGGGCCGGCCCAAGAACACCCTTATTGTAACGGAACGTGTAATCTCCCTAGATTAAGAACATCTCATTTTCATTTCAAGTCCTAGAATCTGAATTTTAGAGTTTCAAGGGATTTCAAAATGGCCTATAATCCTATCCATTCATTAGACAGATGACGAAATACAGAGCCCAAAAGTTAAGACGGTCTCTTCCTTGAAGTCAGAAACTCGAATAGCAGTGGCACCTGGGTCTCCTGCTGCCTGCTAACTCTGCTTTCCATTTTTTTTGCTTTAAAGCATTTTTTATTCAACCACCATCCGCACCCCACACATACACCAAGTCCTTTTGTTGTTATTTTTTATTCCTTCAAGATTTCTTAGATATGGTCTGATTTCAATGCTCACATTGATCTTCCAATTCTCTAACCTTATTTTTTCATCATTTGCACCTTCCCTTTTCCTGACCGTATACCTGGCAGATCTGTCAGTCCTGAGAGTTTAATAGGCAATCTCGGGGTGCCATGGATCTTTTGAAGACCTGGAAAAGGAAAGCAGTCTGCGGTCGCCCTCCTGACACCTTCCAAACAAGAGCGCTGGCTCTTAGCTCCTTAAAGATAGTTGGGCTTGTCCAAGGGCAAGGAAGACCAGCAGACACAGCCCTAGATTTTTAGACACCCCTAGACTGGAAAACGTTCTTTAGGGGAAAAAATGAGGACATGAAATCGCTTACTGCAGTGCCTATCATTCTGTTAAGGACAGTGAAAGCACGGTCTGTCATCCTTGACATTTTAATTGAAAGAAAAGCTTACACAGATTTCAGCCGTAAGCAGTATGTTTATACAAGCGTATAAAGAGGAATAATCTGTCAGGTTGGAAAACTCTTAATGCTACGGGACTCAGTTTAGTAATTGAACAATCCAACATGAGCTCACACATCTTACCTTGTTCCATGCCTCAATAATTTTTAGTAGAAATACTTTACCTAGAGGCATACGGTTATTAAAAAGGAGGCTCGGCTTGCTCAAAGTCTGGAATTATTAGCTCATGGCAACAAGCCTGCACTGGAGAAAGACTGTTGGGTCTTTGTTTTCACAACTTTACTGCAATTTGCCATCTTATTTTCAGAGTCTAACTGATGTGTTGTTTGGGAAGTTGTGTTTTGTTTTTTTTTTTTAAAGGAAGAAAACATAATTTCACACGGATGAGTGACTTCTCATGTTAGCAGTATTGCAGAATTTTACTGCTTCATGGAAAGTCTGGGGAGCAGTGTGAATATCAAAGGAAATGGACTGTGAATTTATTTTAGTATAAAAAATCAATAATAACTTAGTTATAGGAGCCATCAAGGTGTGATGGGGGAAGCCCTATTTTGCAAGTTGAGTATGTGTCTTGCTTCTTTTTCATGACCCATACGACCTTGGGCAAAGTTAAATGTTTCTGAGTTCAGCTCACTCCTGAGTAAAATGGGAATAATATGACCTACCTACCACATTGCATTGTTTCAAGTCACGTGAACGTGAAAATACTTTGAAATAATGAAGCCGTGTACAAGGGCAATATAAAAAGTTTTATGCACTTGCAATGTATTAAATGGTAATTATTTCTATATAGACAAAGGGAATTAGACAATTAATGAAGTTATTCTGATGCCCACTCTTGCTTCTATAATCTGAATGTTCTGGACAAATGATTGTTTCTTGGGCCAAGCTACGTAATTACCTCAGTGTAGTCCTTTGCATACCCAGTGATGGGTGGGCACAGATTTTTATGCACAAAAAAAGCATAAATTTTGTGCTTTTAAAAGCACAAGCCAAAAGCCTAGAAAACAGCATTGGTTTTGTAGGTAGGGAAATTACTTACAGAATCTGTGTAAAACAATAATTCTAAATTATTCAGAATCTAAACATACAGGGTTCTCAAATAACTATTTTCCCCTCCAAGTATACATTGCTAATTGGTCTGATTGGCATCATTAGGTAATTATTATTATAATCCCAAGGGAACCCGGTACCCTGAAGGATTTTCTTAATTAATGAGGGAATACTTGATATGTTAAAATCTAGTAGATGTGTGCACAGTGGGGAAATAACTGACCTAATAAGAACATTGAGTTAAATGAAACTTACCATTCCCCAGATATTCTGTACAACTGGGAGTTTTCCGTAGTATGGGGAAGAATGAAAACTTGATTTAAATTTAATTACTTTTGCATCTCCATTCGCATCACCATTAAGTTGTTTAATTGATTTATTTTTTAAAAAGAATCCATCGATAAAAACTGATAACCAAGATTGTTATTAACATGTCATATTGGAAACAAAATGTAAATGATGATAATATGTTGCCATTTGTTTATAAGGATAGTATTACAAATCAACACAATAAAATGTTTTTAGTTGTCTTTCCTATAGCAGTTTTTGCTTGTCCCTAACTATCTATACTTAAAGCATTCCCCCTGGTGACTAGGGAAACAGACATATGGTAGAAGGCTGTAGGTATGTATATATGTATAGATGATATATCTGTATGTATACATGTATGTATGTACATCTATCTATGTGGATGGATATTTGGATATATAGATGAAAGATTAGCTCTCTATAAGGATGCTCTCAATGAATCTTTCTCATTACGAAATTGGGGAGTTAAGACTTTTAATTTTGTACTTAGAGGAACTAACCATTATTAAACAAGATATTCTTTGATACATAGCTGTTTTCTTTTCAGTAAATGTCCCAAACAAAATATTAAGACTGGAGAATATAAAAACAAACATTGTCTGTTGACTGGGCCACATTCTATACCTATCTGACTCCTACCTCTGAATAAGACTTTAAGACCCAGTGAAGTTACAACCTACTATAGAATTTTGGAGCAATTGAAACCAGCAGTTTCCTATAATTCTAAAAGCAGAAGGGCCTTCAAACGCCCTACTAATCCTTATTGTTAATCCATACGCCAGAGGTCCCCAGGGCACATGTCAAGAAATACCCATTGTACTTCATTTGCTTTTCTGAAAACACTCATTTCATTGTTACAAGCTACTTTCATTAGCCTGTCTCATAGACGCATTCTATTAATAAAACTGGGTGTAATTTGTGTATATCTACATAAACTCTGTGTAAAGGTTTTATATTCTTTTATATTTTCATACCTACAACTTCCTAAACATATAAATATTGACTAATTTATGACTAATCCTTCTGTGATGTGTGACTGTGATAGCTAGCTGTATTTCCAAAGAAGCTGTCAGGCAAAAAGAGTGGAAAACTTAATCTTCTTTGGAATTATAACAGCAATGCGAAGAAGAACATGTTGGCGTTCTTTCCCCCATTCCAGTCTCCCACTTCTCCATGAGTCACCCATGGGAGGCAAATGGTTCCAAAAAGAGCCTCCTCCTGCTACTCCGCTGGGGCTCCGGACGGGGCTGTCCTTCCCTGAAGCACAGGAAGGCGTTGGCCTGCACAGAAGGTCTCTGTCTGCAGTCATGACCCAGCACGTAGCATGAGGGAATCTTTTTTTTTTTTTAAGAAAATGCATTAATTCTGGAAGCACTAGTTTCTTTCATGGCATTCTGGATAAGACGATTTAGCATGGAAGACTCAGAGGTCCCGAGGGGTATTTGTTTATTTGTTTCACTTTATTTGTTTGTTGTGAAGTCTTTAATTTAATGGTTTAACATTTATACAGCTCCCCAGAGCAAAAGCATCAGCAGATTGAGAATTTAGCCGAGGAGGTCACTTGATTGCCATTTTTAATAAACACAAATAATTCCCTTTTCCCCTCAGCCCCACATTCCCTGGCTCATTAAATCAATTTAAGGCCCTTAAAAATTTTCTCTGGCAAATTGAAGCAAAAGCTCAAACTGTGTACTCCCCCGAGGAATGCTTACCCAAGTCCTGCAGGTCAGGCCAAAATCAGTTTCTGTCCAACAGCCTAACACCTCGAGTTATTGTGAAATGAAGGATTGGTGACTGGGGGCTGGGCTCTGGACTTGCCCGAGAAAGGCCGGCTACAGTGCCACGAACCTCAGTCCGGCTGCTTCGGTTCGTGTCCTGGCTTTGTTTTTTTTCCACTCACAGTGAAGAACTATGAAAAAGTTGAAACGGATTTCTATTGGGAATTCATGAATGAAGTTGGCTCTGCAAATCCAGATAGTGCAAGTGTATCCAGGGCAAAGCTAGGAGGGCTTCCATGCAGAGGTGTGGGAAAGTATGGATAAAACAAATGTACACAGATCTCAGGCTCTAAGATCCTCCAGAGGGCAGAGACTTCCAAGTAAGCACAGGATTTCCCCCTGCAAGTCCCTTTCCTAAAGATGCAGGGGTTGTAGGAGATTTACTGGCTTGCTGTCTATTGAACATTAGTTAGGAACAGAGGTTTCCAGAACAGAGGTCAGGAAATGAAGTGGAATTTGATGTATTAACTAGGAAGCAGCAAAGGAAGCCAGGCTTGTGTTTTATTTGTTATTATTTCCCTAATATCCTCAATTAGGCAGCTCCCATCAGAGGATCTGATCTGCTGCTCATATAATGGTGTTGTACCCGCTGGTTCTGGACACAGGGAAACAGGCAGTGAATCCCCGGCCCGTGGCATCAGGAATAATGTTTACTTTTTTCCTTTGTTCCCAGGCCTGTCCCAGGCTCTCTATCTTCTCTGCTACATCTCCACAACAGACAGAGACAGCCCATGCCAGCCTCCATGCCTGGGACCCTGCCCAACCCTACCATGCCGGGATCTTCCGCCGTCTTGATGCCAGTAAGTGCTACTCACTTCCGCCGAGGCTTGCCCTTTTGCAAGAGGAAAGGAAAATCTGAGATCGGAGCTTACTGGAAAGAAAGTGGCTTCTTTTGGTTGGAGAGTTGAGCTGTGTGCCAGTTTTCTGAGAGCACCCGGTTGTCTATCCCTAGGCATCTTGCTGGCTCTCTGGTCCCTCAGTGCTTCCCTAGTGAGGCCTGGTCCCATCTTCCTGCTGGTGACAAGTGGGCTCGCCACACCCAGGGAACGGAATTCGTTCAGGGACATGTGTTATATGGCTACTCCAAAGTCTATAGCTTGGGCTGTATACAGAGTATCCTTAAATTGCCAGTGAGCGGTCTAGCCAGGACTCAGAGTAATAATTATAACATAACAGTAATAACAACTGTACATAATAGCTGCCAACACATATTTGTGCACATCATGTTCTGTTAATCATGCGAGCGACATTTACTGAGTGCTTCCCATGTGCTAGTCACTCTCTAAGCACTTCATTAATACATGGAACAATCCTCTGAGGTAGGTACTGTTACTGTCTCCGTTTTTTGCATGAGGAAAGTAAGGCAAGTAACTTGCTTGGCTGAGAAGCACGGCAGCTGAGTTTTGAACCCCAGAATTCTGGCTCCAGAACCCACTCTCTCAACCACTACATGATACATACATTCTCTCTTTTAACTCTCACAACAGACCTATGAGGTATGCACTGTTATTACCCCCATTTTACAGATGAGGAAACTGAGGCACAAGAGGCTGGGTAACTTGGCTAAGGTCACAGAGCTAGTAGGTGATGGAGTCCAGGGAGTCCGAGTCCAGGGAGTCCGAATCCTGAGTCTACACTCATAATCATGGTACTATACTGCCCCTCTCTGAAAACAACAGATTAGCATAGAAGGGAGATACAGACTATTCCAGAGCAAACCTTGCTCTCCTTGCACAGGATTCCCTCCCTGTACTTCGTGAACATGGCTAGTGTTATTATTCATGGGGCCAGAAGAGTTCTCGAAAGCCCTAGAGGCGATAGGACCAGTCAATCAAAACTCTCCTGCAACAGTATCAACAATGCCTGGTAGAGCATTTTAGCATTTTAAGGAATTGCCTACGTTTTGTTATTATTTCATTTTTGTTATTTCACTTTGTTCCCACAGCAGTCCTGTGGGAATTTGATAGCAGTAATTATTGATACACTCATTTTATAGATGAAAAGCTGAATAATTAGGAAGATGAAGGGAGTTGTCTAATGTCACACAGCTTGTGAGTGAAGAGCTGTGAGTAGAACCCACATCTCAACACACTGAGCAGCTTGGATTATCCCAGGTTGAGCAATTTTCTCATTTATCTCAGTTTTGGCAGGGCAATGGAGAAGGGCTTGGTGGCCCTAGGTTAGAGAAACGGACCTGCCTGCTGTAAGTATCAGGTAGTCCAGGCTAGAGACAGTCTTTGCGTAGTTGGGCCAGAAGGACAAATGAGCCAGCTGACTTTACCTGCGTTGCTCACTGCAGACATCTTTAGATGAAGGAAAATAGCGCCATCGATGCCATTATCCCAGGTTTTACTCAACCCAATTTATTGCATGAAGACTTCCACCACGTGCTGTCTTCATTTAGGCTCTAACTTCTTCTTGTCCAAAAGTAGTTTCCTTTCAGAAATTCTATGCATTGTCCAGAAAAATACCACTGCAGTGACTTTTTTTCTGTTTGACTAAACTGTGTACTATTCCCAGGGGCAAAGGTGGGCCACTTGAAATGAAAGGGCCTGGAAAAAGGTGCCTGGCACCGATTTCCACCACATCACTTCATCGTACAACTTGATCTCCTGTTCCTGCTTCAGAGTAGAAGCAAAGGATCAGCTGCATGGTCAAGAGCCAGTGTGGATGACAAGTCGGGATGCCACCCCCACAGGAGTTCCCAAACCGGTGTCAGTGATGCATACAGCTGCCACGACAGTAGTGTCAGTCTAGAGCAGTGATTCTAACGAGAGGCGATTTTGTCCCCCAGGGGATATTTGGCAATATCTGGAGACACTGTGGTTGTCACAAGTTGCAGGGTGGGGAGTGCTACTGGCATCTAGTGGGTAGAGGCCAAGGATGCTGTTAAACATTCTATAATGTACAGGACAGCCCCCACAACAAAGACTTATTTAGCACAAATTGTCACTAGTGCTGAGGTTGAGAAACTGTGGTCTAGAGTGACACTAATGTAACTAATGAAAATTAATATAAGATCTCTGAAAAGTATATCCTAAGATTTCTAGACCCTAGAAATCTGGCCCTTTTCTTCCTTATTGTCAAGTCACCAGCTCCTGTATTATAACTTTGGTATTTCAAACATGGTCTTCCTCTAGAGTGCCTGCCCCGGGAAACCATGATTCCTTGGGTATAAAAGATAAGTCCATGTCTGTAGGTGAGGATGAGATTCTTAAGTGAATTGTAGTACATGCTGTCAGGCCATACATTTCACAAAGTTTTAAGTCTGAAACAAAATGATGTATTTGTTCATTCATTCATTTAACAAACTTTTGTTGAGCACCTTCTATGGGCCAAGTCCTGGGATAGATGTGAAGAACAAGGCAGGTATTGCCTTCGAAGAGTTCACTGGGTTGTGATTTCCTATCTTGAAAGTCAAAATCTTTTAATTTGCCACTATGAACACCTATTTATAGTTACAAAAGCCCAATGAACTGCAGACACTTTAGCTCCTGTTTTCCAATTTGTTTCAAGGGAAAAGAAACTCAAAAAAAGGTGAGCTCCTTTACCTGGAAGTTTTACTTAATGGTGCTAAATATTGTGTAGTATTCAGCAAGGCCACTCACATCTTCTGACCTCTTAATTCTAGTCAGCTTAATTCTAGTCAACTCATCAAAGCTGCTCTCATGCTGTAAAGTCTTAGTACAAAGGGTGTGGGTTAGTACAAAACACGAAATAGTAGTTTTGAAGAGGCTCTCGCTGACCCCCTATAATCATTTAGACAGAAAAATGCAATTTTTTTTAGATAGAGAAATCAGCCTGTTTTCATCATTCTGTTTAATTTGTGAGTCACGGGGTAGAAATAGTCATAGGCTGTAACTTTTCCGAAAAGTGGGAAGCATGGCCGACTCTGGATCCAGAGGCCAAAAACAGGCTACTCTCCCTTCTTTGTAGTGGACGATGGCTGGTAGCTTGGAAAACCCCAGACAATCATTTGTACATCTGAATGATCCTCCCTCGGAAAACTGAAAGCAAAAGCTCATTTGGACTTGATTTCCTTCTAGGAGAAGGTCACCAATTGGAATAAAGTGTCAAATGCTGTTCCAACTTGCCTATCCCCCAGCCTCTGGAAGGGAGTTATAAGTAATAAGCATTTTTAGAGCAATCTTTATGACTTGACAACTAGAGTACACAAATGTACTTAAGGACACTGAACTGTACACTTAAAAGTGGTTAAAACGGTCGATTTTATGTTATGTATATTTTACCATAATTAAAAAACAGAGTTTAAAAGACTTAGAGTACCTAGGCTCCCTGGAGATTTAGGGGGTATGTGGGAGTGACAATTTTATCTTACTGAATTGGTAAGGCCTCAGGTTTTGCGGGAGTGCTCTAGAACATGTAGAAAATTCTCCTTCATTAAATATCTCTTTTGAAACAGTTTCACACATCCATTCACTGCTAGATTACTGATAAGCTAATTTAGGCCAAGATAAGGCTGACGGCGCTTTGCTATGACAGGGAATGTCCACCAGTCATCCATTAGGAGGATTTTAGCGAGCACCTCTGCTAACCCACACGTTGATGTCATAATCCTACCCCCGTGGACACAGCAGGGGTTGCTGTGATAGAATCTCAACAATGGACGGGACCTGAAAGGGTCATTCAGTTCAACTCTCACTCTCAACTTGTCTATGAGGTTTCCGTCCTCCACTCTTTGAAGAGCCCCAGTGATAAGGACTCTGTATTTTCTGGGCTAACTTTGAGCAGAACCTGGTTTCCTAAAATTTCCGACCATTGTTTCCATTTCCATCCTTTGGAAAAAGTTTTGCATTGAAGAATCTATATTTCCCCCTGAGAAAAGTCTAATTATTTTCTGTGTGATTTTAGTATTACATGTGCTTGCTTTATGCCAGTTCTTTGAAAAGTGCTAATTTTCTACTAAACAGAAAATATCCATCAGACACACCCCTCCCTGACTCAAATAGAGATTTTGCTGTATTTACTTTTTAACAGGGACACCCTGGAGACAAAAATGCCAGAACTCAGTGCAGGTGTTTGGAAGATGTTAATTCTAGCCTTGATGGCAGGCCAGCGTGACAATGTGGGAGCAGTCGGTCGTGTGTCATACAATACCCTCAGCTGCTTTCTTCATCTACTCAAAGGCCTAGCCCCACCGTGAGGCCCAAAACTGTTGTCGTGTAGAGTCATGGCCAGGTTCACAGGGCAGGGATGTGCCAGGGGCAGCAGCTCAAATACCTGTGCTGGATCATTTGGATTGTGTTTATGAGTTCAAGTGATGGGAAGACCCACCATATTTGAGAGCTTTACTTTTTAAATTAATTTTATTTTTTCTCATTACTAAAATGATTCACCTTTCTGCATAAAAGTTAGAGAGGGGAAAAAAAAAAAGCCCAAGATAACCATAACAGTTATAAAAATAAGCATGGTCACTGGTAGTTGGTGTGTTTATGAAAGTGGAAATATTCGATACTTTTGTTTAGAAATGATCTTCCAGGACAACATGGCTCTTTTTGGTGTAGGGCATCTTCTATAGAAGGCGCAGCTTTGGATGATTCTTTGATGTGCTTGAGTTCAAGGCTCAGGAGTGCATTGTTTACCCTTCCCCAAACCACACACTTTCTCTGGAGTTATTCAAAGAAATTCCAAAGGAACCATTTGAAAGAGAAATGCAGCTTTGTCTGTGACCTAGACCGCCTTTCTCAGACTTTTGATTCTGGTGCTTTCCTTTCTCTTAGATGGAGAGACAGATGTCAGTGAACTCCACCCTCCTGGGAATGCAAGGTCCGAATCTCAGCAACCCCTGTGCTTCTGCCCAAGTCCAGCCAATGCATTCAGAAGCCAAAATGGTAAATAACAGTTATAATCATCCTTTTGTTATTTGGTGACTTCTTCTTTTGATTTCTATTCTGACTTCCGAATTTCAGTTAAGTCAGGTAGACGGCTCTGTCTTTGTTTTGGTGAATAGGTCTTTCCGTGGAAAGGCAGTAGAGGGCTTGGTTCTCTCTTTGAGGATATTTGTTACCGAACCATGGTGTCAGGTGATCATGTAACAAGCATTGGATCAGATGTGGCCTTAGTAAAAGGGACATTTAAAAGTTTGGGGAGATCCATAGGAGCTGAGGTGGGATACACCCAAGTCTGTGTATATTTGCTCATAAAATGAAATTAACGAAAATAACCCAGAGTTTCTCCCTTATTCAAGGTGATCACAGTTTCAATGCCACTCTTTTTGTCCCCATATCCATTGAAACAGACATGTGACTTTTTGCACATACTGTTATGGAAATATTTTCCATTTTTTGTTATAGTTGTCAGATGTGACATTGATTTGAAAGGATCAGAGCCTTGTTTTCTTGCAGAGTAACTCTCACTGAAATACATGATTTCAGGTGACAACCTTCAGTGACTTTTAACATATGAGATTTATGTGCAGTCAGGTCAGTCTTTCCAATCACAGTGATAGATTCATTCATTTATATTCTACTGAACAGTAATAAAAGCAACACATGTATGTCTTTGCAATATAAAGTAAATTTGCTGGTTATATTTAGTAGAGTTATTTGAAGTAGGTCATTCGGTTTTTGTGTAAATTCTGAAACCGCAATTAGTAAAGTATCGGATGACAACAAAATACAGTGCAGCAATGTTTTTAGTGTCTGATATTGGATAAGGATAGCTTTTGCTACAAGTTGGAGATTTATTTGGTTTCCTGACTGATAGTGTTAGGAACCATGTCTGACGGCTGGTATGAGAATGTTATTGACAGTTCTGAAAATGTCATCAAAACCCAGTGACTTCGTTTTCAATGGCAGCAAGTTTTTTTTAACGCCTGCTTTACTCACTTTCTCTTGGAAACTTCACTCATTTGACTTGCAGCTTCTTGACCCAAGGAGGTGACTGAACTCCCAGTGTTGGCTACCTTGGGCAAATAAAATCTGTGGTCAAGAGAGTTCTCTTTGCTGTGCCACAGTCCCTGTGACATGCCAAATGGCACCGACATCTTCAGCAAAGCTCGTTAAATCTTTTTGGAATTGGCAAATATTTTTTCAACTCAAGCCCTGCAGAGCCAAACCAAATACTTGCTGGCAGAGTAAAGCTCAAACTGGCATCTGTTTTGGAGACCAGAGTAATGCCATTTACTCTTTTTTTTTTAAGAAAAATAAAAAATGAACTGTGAAGGTACTTAAGAAAAAAACAAAATTAAGTTATTCATGTGTATGAATAAATGTTCTGGGTCTGAGCATCAGATGCTACTCCCTCAGCTGGATTATTTCTGAGTCATCTTGTTTTGTTCAGGGTCTGTATCTCTTTTGAGGGACCTCCCAGACAAACTTTAGATGGATTCTGAAACACAATTCCAAACTAAATTTCCCTGCCAATTGATTTTCACTGGATTTTATGTCACCACTTGACTCAGAAGTGTCCTACCCCATTTCTTGCTGACAAAGAAGGAAAATGCTTCCAAAGGGAGTACAGGTTTATAATTATTTATGTGTATGAAGTAAAAACATATGCTATGGCAAATTAGTAGTGAATAATATCAGCTGGAGACAAAAGAGGATTGGTGTGTGCTTATAAAATAGTGTTAACCCCACGAATGTTTGTCGAGTTAAATTTACTGAGCAAGCACACTACTCTGCTGATTCATGTTCTAAGTGAATGAATATTTCCAGATCCATGATGTCTGGGCTAATGAACTCTATCCTGGAGTTTGGGCTTAGGGAGCACAGCTATTCTACCCATAACCCTGTTATTGCCAATACATTAATTCAAAGGGAAAAACGGTAGTATTGGCCACTTATATTTTGAAAGACTAGCGTTTACTTAGTAGCTTGGAAAAGTGTTAAGTAAGTTACTTTTAATACGTTACTGAGCATCTCTAATCTTCTTCTGCTTGCTTTATTCACTGGAGAAACCAGTTATTGCCATCTAATAACTGTACAGTATTTTCTAGCAGCTTTGGGCTGCTCAGATGAAAAGCTTTTATGAAATACAAAGTAGTGAAGAAAAAAAATCTTCCGTGATTTTAATGTCAGCCAGAGCCTCCCCAGGTTTCTCTGAACTATGGGCTTTGTTGTTCTATGCCTAATTTTCTTCCTGTGTAAGACTGGAATGGATTCCAGATTTCAACTAAGACTCTTGTTTCACAGTTTTCAAGGACTTTTCCAAAGGTCACACATGGGCTATTGTGATGAATGCACTCTGTGGGGTGTGTTCTCAGAGCACACGGGAAACCAGAGAGCTGCCAGGGAGGTGTGGCTCACACCACAACCCTGCAGACCTATTCTCCTGGGGACAGCGATGTCAGAGCGTCCATTTCACCCTGCCTATTGGCCACTGACAAAAGCCATCATCCTGAATCTCTGGTGAAACTCAGAGGTACTGGAGGTGGCCAAAGCGTAAGACAGGATTGCTTTAAGTGTACAGCTTTGTTAGAAGCTGTCTGAGAGTGACTACTCAGTAGAATACATCCATTTTCCTTGCCCCAAATTGGTCATTTCTATCGTGGGAGAAAGAAAGACAAGTGTCCCCAATAAGCTCTATGGTGCATTAGTCCAGGACATCCTAAATCAAGAAGCACACGTGCTCTTTTGATTTAATGTACATTAGTATCAAGTAGTGCACTTCAATGTACTGTAGTTACATCCATCCAAGTTGGTTTTATCATAATTCTTGCAAATTATAATTTAGTTTTATGGATTCTTTTTCTGAAGAATTAAGCCAACAAACATATGGCTTCACAATTACACAAGTGGACATGTACCTACTGGATTTTGTTTCAGGGGTCAGAGCAGAGTCAAAACCATTTGAGACTTGCATCTTTTTAACCACTCAAAACAACAGGTTCTTCCTCCCAAATTTCTGGGATCAGTGGGTGTCTTTCATGAAAATGGGGACTACCAGAAAGGAAATTCACTGAATACCTGGTAGACTTTTTTAACATTCAAAGCAGGGAAAGGGAGGGAAAGAGGGAGATGAGCAGGGAGAAATGAAAAAAGGGAGGAAGGAGACAGAATGGGTAGGGGAAGTGCAAACCAGACCGGGACATATTTCCAGCTTCCTCTGGGTACGAGTGATTCTGTAGTGATGTGGCTGTGGTGTCCTCAGTGTTATGTAGATCTGCATTCATTTCTTCTTGTGAGAATTAGACCAATTCAATTTAGCTCTGAAAGAGGTTTTCCTTTTCCTTCCTTTTTTTTTTTTTTTTTTTTTAAGAAATCAATAATAGTATTGGAAGCTAAATAAAGGGTGGGGGAAACTTGTCCATATACCTGTCTTGTGTCTCATTAATGAGGAGGTGATTAATACCATATTGAAACTAACTAAAATGAAGGATGGCATATAAACAACTATTTGGAGAGGGTTCTGGCAACCCTGCTCAGATTTCACCTTAAGTTTGGACAGGGTTAGTGAAGCCTAGGACTATTGATGCAAGGGAGAAGGTATGTACAGCTGTGAACTGATTTCGTCCTCAGAACAACACCGTGACATTTGGGGGCTATTGTCCCCATTTTATGAGGCATCTGAGGCTCCAAGATGTTAAAAAACTGGCCCAATGACACATCATTTAGCAAAGACTAAAGTCTCAGACTCCAATGACAAAGCTTTTTCATCACAACATTGATCCTTTAGATAAAAATAGCACACAGATCAAATCAGATTCTTTTTAGGTTAATTAATATTCACGTATAAATGGGAGACAAGGATGGCAAGGATGGTTTAGACCTCCAGAAAACCTGGAAAAGATGTGAAGTAGTTGGTAGTGTGGAATTTCCCCCTTGGTTTAACTACAGCTTTGTGGCCTCACTGACTGGTCCAGCTTCACTGTCTCTTTATCCAAACATATTTTTATCTTGACTTTTCTTATTTTACATGTGTGTCTCCCCCACTTGATTGATTGGAAGCTCCTTGAAGATAATCCTTGCATTGTGTAAGCTCCGTATACTGAAAAAGGTCCCATGAATGAGAACTGAATTTAACTGACTTGAGTTGAATTAAAATTATGAGAAGGAACCAAACTCTAGCCATGGAAATGGGGGTGGGATGGAGTGGGTAGGGGGCAAGGGTGGGGCTGAGAAGGGGAGGATAAAAGTAGACAAACCTAAGCTAAGTAATCAGCTTGTAAAGAGTAACTGACTACATTTGATTCCTTTGAAAGATATCTAGAAACAATACCCATCATATTTTTTCCTTGAGAGGAAAGCAATATGTCTGTTCCTTAGAAAACAAAACCTGGACTATCATTGCCCTCCTAGGAAGTCAGAGCAATCAATACTACATGCTGTTTCTTCCATTTTGATGGACTGGTTGTGCTGCATTTTGGTCATCGACTGTCAATACTTCATCCACAGTTAGGTTTGCAGTTTATTGAAAGGATACATAAATGCAGGCATTAATGAATGAATGAAAGAAACCAAAATGATTGGAGAGTCAAGGCCTCTTAGAGATGGAGGGTACGTATGGTCATGAGCCAAATAACAAGGTTTTGGTCAACAACAGACCATGTATACCGTGGTGGTCCCATAAGATTAGTACCATATAGCCTAGGTGTGTAGTAGGCTATACCATCTAGGTTTATGTAAGTACACTCTATGATGTTCGCACGACGACATCATCTAACGAGGCATTTCTCAGAACGGATCCCCGTCCTTAAGCAACACATGACTGTACTTAGTGAAGACCTTGTCCAAATTCCTCATTTCACAAGTGAGGACACGAAGCCTGTAAAGACTTAGGGAGATCAAGCCATCATTTAAACACAAAGCTGGGCCCCCAACTCGGGCCTTCATGCTTCTAGCCAGAATTATGCTTTCTCCATCAGCTCTGCTGATAAATTACTACCAGT